CCCGCGTGGCAGGCGAGAATTCTACCACTGAACCACCAATGCATTTATATGTGTTGTTTAGGGGGTGGAGCTTAAATTTCTGACATTCCACAGCAGGCAGTCGCTGTGCAGTTCACTCTTGTTTTGGTTTTTTGCCCCTCCGTCACACTGCAGCCTCAATAGCACAATCTTCTTGGCAAATACAATATGTAGATATCCTAACAATTTGTACCTGAACCAGAAAGGGGAAGTTGTGTGCGTTCTGTCTACACAATCAAGGGCATTACAGGGAATTCAAATTTGGTATCTCCAAAGCTGTCTAGTGCATTTTACACTTAAATAATAAACAAGCCGTGTTCATTTGTGTGAGGACGCTTGACTGCAGCTGAGACTGCCTACATCCCTACCCCCACAGGGCAAGCTGTCCTTACATAATGACTGCGACGGCACTGAGCACGTGTTTAACCTCAGAGGAGTGGGAGAGCACCCCCTGCCTGTGGACCATGTGGTACTACACTGCCCTGTAGGTCAAACCACACACACACAGCTGGATGTCCCCAACTACAGCCAGAACAAACTCACTCTCAAGGTATACACACTCATGCCGCCGCACATACTGCTACTTGCTAACAAGGTTGATGCTCACTCACGCATCCACCGTCCTACACAACACATTTGCAAAGAAAAGCACTACTAAAACTGTTTACAAGTACAGTAGTAGCCAACAGCACTAAACATAAAGTACAGCTGAGGATAATGGGAATGTCATCAGTTATTTGGGCGTAAACCAAAGTCTCGGATACATTTTTATTTGACTTGTTGGATGTTAGATTTAAAAAGTAGATGTTAAAATATTTTACAGGATGAGTGAAGATAGCTTTTATACATAATGTATTTTGAAAAGCTACATTTGTAAAACAAAAAGTGGATTATGAACTTCCTTGTATGTATGTACGTATCTGTGTTCATTCTGAGCCATTTGAAGCTGTGTGTGTGTGTGTGTGTGTGTGTGGTGTGCGTGGTGTGCGTGTTGTGTGTGTGTGTGTGTATTGTAGGGCATTCATTTCCTTTTTCCTTGTTCTCTGTCTTGTGTACATGCACACAGGTAGTGACAGACCTATCTGTTGTAAGTGGCACCCCCTCCCTGGAGATTAAACCTGGTGACAATGCGCCATACACCCTGGCTGCGTCACCATGGAAACGAGGAAAACATACAGGTGATTTTTCTCTTGTCCCCGTCACCTTGTTTTGTTCTAATGTTGGATTCATTTGTTTACTATATTTTATTAAATTTGATTATACACATTCACACAGACTCATACGCTGTGTAGCGCTTATGTGGCAGGTCTTTAGGCCATCTGTTTTTATATTTGTTTAGTATGTTTTATAAGCAGTTGAGTAGTGTAAGATGCTGATTATTTCATAGATAAAAACAATTAAAAAAACAATTAAAAAAAACTAAACTGAACACTTCCACACCTTTTCTTGCAGGCTGTCTGTCATTTCTAGAAATTGACATGTCAGAGACAGACAAGCGCAAAGGTAAGCTTAGTGTTACCATATTCTGCACATGAAACAGTCAGAGCTCAAAGTAGAGCTACAAAAACACTTCACTTAGGATTGGTTGGTTTTTTGTGTGTACACACGTGTTTGCACTCATACCTTATTTATATGTGTGTGCCTTTCATCCAGAAAATGTTCTCGGACGCTACGAGGTGCATTTCTCTCTAGAGATCATTTGTGAGCCAGCAGCACCCATCAAGGTCATAGATGTACAATGTGTTGCTCAGGTAAGCTCTGAAAACAGACGAGCACAACCGCAGTTCATCTGATTTGCAACACAACAACACAAATAGGACCAGATGGCAGACTGTTTTGACACGTTTTGCTAATGTCTAGAAAGAAGTGCAGCACAAAAACATGATGCATTTCTGATACTGAACTTGAAACATTGGTTGAAGGGAAGACACTGCAAGTGTGTATTCCTCTTTCAAGAGGTAGTTTATATGTCAGGGAAAAAGATGACTGAATAGCATCAATGCAATCATTGATTGAATGAGTTGTTAAAAATTGGACTTTCTGTTTCCCTCAGTGGCCCCGAAATGTAAAATGTTGCGTTAAGGCTCTTTCTTTGATCTTGTATTGTTGTATTTAGTGAATAACTCTGGTAAAGTAACTTTGAAGCCCCTGGTCAAGCCACATGTTAGTCAGCAAGACAATAAGTTCTTAGCTTAAAGAGCAATGTTCTGTAGCTGGGTATTTGATCTATATTGAAAGAAAGTGAAGAGAGTAAATTCAGTTCAGGATTATTATTTCGTTTCGAACATGCAGGCCCTTAAGAAGTGTTTCTGCAGCTTGCCACTGTTACAGGAGCTTAATCTCCTCCCAACGCTTAGATCAAAAGAACATCACAAGGAAAAGCAGAAACAGGTTTCATCTTTGAGATGTTGTTCCCAGAGCTCAGTTGCCATAGAGGTCCCTGTCAGTAACCCACGAGGAGAGCTGCTGATGCTGGATGTGTGCCTGGAAGGAGACGACCTGAGCGGGGCCAGCTGGGTTTCAATTCCCCCACGGGAGACTCTCACCTACAAAGCTACGTTCTCCCCTGGCAGAGTGGGGAAGAGCACAGGCAGGTAAGACTCACTGCACTGTTGCTGACATGACCTCCTTTAAAAGAGGAGGGTGAAAAAATGAGTTTCTCATTTAAAGTGAAGATCCCTGTTCATTAAATGCTTGTTGGACTGATCTAAAAATACATTGTTGCTCTAAATCTGACACTCTTTGAGTTGTTTCAAAACAAAAAAACCTCAACATAAGCCTGCTAATTGAATATGCAACCGACTTACTTACAGTTGATCAGTGGTGCATACAGCATTTGCATAGGTTTGGTGTGTGTTTTCCACCAGTGTGTTGTTCCAGTCAGAGCTGGTGGGGGAGTTCTGGTATCAACTGGAGCTTTATGCTCTTCCTCCTCCAGTCATCATGCTACCACAGGCCTGCTGTCAGCTGGGCAAGTAGGTGCACACACACCAGCACACACACTGTCTCACTGCAGGGTTATTGGCTCCAGCCGTCCCAGACATACATTTATCAAAACAAGAAAAAATAAAAAAGATTTCATAGTTTGCGGTGTGCCATTACATGCTCTAGCCAGCGTTTGTGAAATGGTGATACAATCTTTTTTCCATTATAGGCCACTACTATTGCATGGTTAGTGTTAATCTTAATGTCTTTGGGGGCCACCCAGAAAATGGAGCAGTAAATGATGGTAACATTTAATTTGTGGAAACACACGAGATTACTAAATGGAGGAAACTCTTAGGATTAACCAGTGAAATAACCTTATTGCAGTGTTCAGCAGCTGAGCAGTTGTTAAGGAGCGCGAGTGAATTACTTTGAGCAATTTCTTATTATTAGAAGATTAGATTTGATCTCCTATTTATGATCTAATGTCTAAATTAGGCTACCCTCAGTGAACTAGAGCATCAACCCTAACATCACAGGAGAAAAGTACATTTCACCGAGCGATTCATTCAGATTTAACATTCATTCAGTTTAACTCAGGTTTTCTGGTATCCCTTTTAACTGGTGTAGATCACCAAGCATAAGTAACCTGGGCATGCTGCTGGATGTTCAGTTTTGAATATTGTTGCTTTAACAGGTCTCCAAGTGACCAGTCAGCTCCCTGGAAAACCATCCTTCCTACAAGATCAAAAGTATTGAATTTAAAGAACTCACTAGAGTCACTGTCTACTGTGATTATTATGTGAGACATAGAAGAAAAGTGTTTCCAGAGTTTAAGCAGACCTTCTAATGAACAGAGACATAGTTTGCCACAGTAACAGACTAATGAATGGTGATTATAGCTGAATATTAATTGTGCACACTGCTCATTAGCTAGTTAATTATAAATGCAACATATGGACATTCATTTCCTTACTTAAGGCCTTTTTTGTACTTTATCCCTCTGTTATGGCAGCAGATGAGCCTTACTTAAACAGTTTTTAAGTGTATCACTTCTTTAATAATGTTTATTCATCATGAGACAAAAAATAAGCATCATGTGTATATGTATGTGTGTCTGTGTGTGTGTGTGTGTCTTAGATGGACCAGACAGACCATTCCCCTGGTTAACCCAACAGCTGAGACTCTGGAGCTAATTGTAGCCAACAGTAACCACAGAAACTACAAACTGGAAATGGATTCAGGAAGTACTGTTAGTACACACACTCACACCCGCACATCCTTTGTTTTATTTGTCACAACATACATCTGATGTGACCCTGCTCCTGCCCTGGGGAAATTGATTTACCAGTATTTTATATGTTCTTTGTAGTTCAATGGATATTTGATTGTTTTTGCTTTGGATTTCATCTCTTAAAAGAAGCATGCAGTACACAAAGACACTTGATAACACAGTGGTTGTTTTTTTTACACATATCCTGAAACAAACAACAGTCACTGATGTCAGCTGGAGGGAAAATACTTGCTGTATATCTGGATGATAGCTGTGGGTTACCTAGCAGTGTGATTTAGAGGGTTTGTCTCTTTGAGCATGAGTGTTTATCCTGCTTTACTGTCCCCATGAAGCTATTTCCTGTGTCTGTTTGTGTGTGTGTGTGTGTGTGTGTGTGTGCCTGTGTGTGTGTGTTCCAGCTTACTGTGGAGCCCCACTCCTCCACTGAGCTTGGTGTCCATTTTAATCCTTCATCCATCGGAGAAGGGAACCACGCGGCAAAGATCACTTTCACATGCCCTGAGGTGTGTATATATATATATATATATGTACACACACACACACACACTGAAAATGGATTACATAAATCATCATTCCCTGCCTACACACATACACACACACATAAAGACACATATAGATGGAGGAATAACTCATTTCTTTTTCCTCTTAAATTGGTTTAAGCAGGTGCTCTCATTTTATTTACTGCCTCATCACTCCCAATCATCCACATGAAGCTTGGAGCAATCAGATCACCTCATAAAGCTTTTCATTGGCCCAGATTGTACATTTTATTTAAGGCACAGGAGGGGCCAGGTGATATTAACAATAGATACAATGATGAAAACATTTCTTTTATTAGAAAACTAGAAGCAAAAGAAAAAATGAGGGAAATCTTTAAGCTCAAAAGAAACAATGACTTATTGTGATATACATTGATATGAACTTAATTAAAGACATATATTGTAATGCATTTTTGCCACCGCCCAGCCTAACGTTCCACTTATTGTGCACAGTACTTTTGTAAAATGTTTCCTGAAAAGGCATAAATCTAAAAATGTGACCACATCTTTCCTTTGTCTACCCTCCTCTGTATTCCCTTCATGCTCTTTCATTTTTTACTTCATTTCTCTCCCTCTGGCCACTTGTGTATATGGTGTGTATGTGTTAATCTGTCTCTGTCTTTCTTTAGTTGCAGGAATGGTGTGTGTTGTTGAGTGGACGTGGCCTTAATCCAGAGAGCGAGGAGCCCCTGAGCATCTCATCCCTGATTGGCTCCAACGCCTCCATCACCATTCCTTTCACAAACCCCACTGAGTTCCCAGTCATGCTCGATATCTCACTCACAGGTCACAGGCACTTCTTGTCTTTCTCTAACAGACACTTTGTCACTCGTTTGTTCTCGTCACAGACATGTGACACACTCAGACATGTTCCTAATACTGTGTGTGCTTGGTACTTCGTCATGTCTCAGATGAGGACCCGAGTGGGGCCCCCAACTGCCATCAAGTCTCTACAGAGAGGGAAGTCTTCTCTATCCCTCTGAGCCAAACTGGAGGTGTGTTAACTGATAACTTTTCACCACATCATGATAAAATGTTCAATAAACGCATTTTACCAGGCAACACATACAATTCCTAAAACTAAGCACAAAGAACACTAAGCTTATAATTATTTCTTTGAAGTAGAATTAAAGCAAAACTGAACTTCAAAGCTGCTCTAATCAATATTTTCTATATTCTATATTATTCTATATAAGTGTAGTGATGAACACACTCAGAATTATTATTCAGCTCTGCAATTTCCCTCAGCTCAGCTCAATTTTTTAGCTCTTTCAACTCATTGTTTTGGTTTTCTTGCCTGCAATTAAACTGTTTTGATCCACTCTCACAGCTTACATCAACCTTGTTTCCAACCGAAGCAGGCAGCTGTTTTCAGCTGTTTTAGCTCTGCTAAAGCCACTGTCCTTTACCTGCCCAGCACCAAACAGCAGGGCGACACAGTTGGCGGCTAGCCGGTGACCATAGTGGAGCATTTAGAAGCTAAAGAGACAGATATTTTTCTCAGGAGTTTGTAGAGTGAAAAGCAATGCTAAAGAGTAAAGAAGAATGGATATTGGACTTACATTCATCTCTGAATGCGCGATGCGTAAATAGGCAATGATTTGTTAACATGTTAACAATAGCAGTAAAAACTTTTTTAAAGTTAAGTTCCCTGCTGCTCTCAGCTGGCCAAAATAATCAATTATCGCAACAATAATATTTTCTCAGACCTTTCAATGTTGTGGCTTTGCTGTGTTTACATGAGGACAAAATCCTTTCAGTTGGTAACAAAACAGATTAAAAAAATATCCAGCAGATGCTCAGTGTGTGTCCTAAGATAAACAGCCATGATAAATGTCCTTGTATCTAAAGCTGCCTCACTAACTGACAGTAGAGAACTTTTACTCTTCATCAGCTTTTAAATAAATCACCCTGAGACTACATCACAGGAAACATTTTCTTACAAGTCAAAGTTTCTTCTAGTTTACTTGAAATCAACTTCTATGGTTTTGCAGATATCCACACGAGAACTGTCCGAATGCATTTTAACGAGTTGTGGTTTCCAGAGTGAACGTATTTCTCATTTTGTTACCGAGCAGAAAACATGTTGACGTCTGTCCTCCATCTTGGCTGCAGGTATCCAGATCAGTGAAGGGGCCAGTTTTGATGTGCCTGTGGTGTTTGCCCCTAACTCTATGAGGCTACAGCAGGCCTGGCTCTGCCTCACTATGAATCCCATCAGCAGCCCGGGAAAGAACAGTACCTTCTGTACAGACAACGCGAGGTGTGTGTGTGTGTGTGTGTGTGTGTGTTTTATTGTCTGTATAAGAGGCTGTTTCTGAGTGTCTAGACAGTCAGTGAAGCCCATTAGCTTCTGTTATTCCTACATCCAGGCAGGTTTTTCACTGTAGACAAAATCGTTGAATCAGCTTTCCCCTTGAACACAACAGGGACGAAGTGCTCAGTACAGTTTTTGAGCTCATTAAAGATGTTCTATTCTATACATAGCATTTGTACAAGCAGTATAATGTTACAAAGACTGTACCGTGCATCCATTTTCCATTCTCAGTCAGGATCACAAGTAGCTATCCCATTGGGCATCGGGTGAGAGGCAGGGAGCGCCCCGGACAGGTCGCCGTTCACAGGGCTCACACACTAACAAAAACATTCACACCCTCTTTCACACCTTGAAACACCTGGAGAAAACCCATGCTGGCAAAAGCTCTGTAATCCATTACTTTTACTGTATGGTACAACGGCTTTGGCTCAGTTTTCAGTGGGTTTCAGTTTGAAAAACTCTTAATGTAAACAACTCAAATTTAATTCTTGCGCAAAACACAAAATGCTGTCCTTACATACAAAATGCAGAATGTATATAGTCAATTACTGGTTCATTGCTAATCCTAAATACTGTGTAAATACTGTTTAAAAAATGCACTCATCAATATTTCAGCTCAGAGCAGGAATTGTCAACCATCTGTTGGACTTACCCTCTCCGTGGGATTCCCATGGAAATGCCTGTTGAGAACTCACCACTTGGCCTGATTTGTTGTGAAGCGGGCTGCCAGCTGGAAAGGAAAGTAGATATACTGCTCACTGGATGTGTGCCGGGGAATCAAGAGCGGACAGGACAGGGAGGTGTGTGCCAGTTTGTCATTTTCACTCAAGTGAAAGTTCAAGTGGTCCTGCAATATCAGAAAACACTTTTGAGGATTATTTTTTAAACCTTGTTACAATGATTTTATATTCACACAGGAAGTGTCATCTAGTAGCTCCAATGATAATGAGATGAGATGTGTCAGGATCTGTCAGATTCAGTTAAGTAGGTGACTGATTGATGATCATGTCATATGTTGGCTTTGCTGTAATTAATCAGCAGCAGCATGTCACACGTGGAAAAAAAAAACATTCGGAGATTTTTTAAGTGGTAAAAGTTGAGAAAAAAGGCCAGTGAGTCACAATCAGGATCTGTAAGAAAAATAACACCAGACTGAAATTGATTTGATAATCACATTGTGCTGAGTAAAGAGGATCATCGTCAGTACTGCACTTGTTGTTGTTCAGCTTAATTACACGTTTCTCTGTGTTTCCCATATATTGATTTATTTGTAGCAGCCCACAATATCAACATTAACCGCCACATATTGATTTTCTATTTCTTTACGATTCATTCAATTGGTTAAAGCTTAAGAAATTGTAGAGCTACGCGCAGCATGTTGATTTGCTCAGCTGCTCCTTACCTTGCTCTTGCTTTCTCTCTCACAAACAGACAATGGACTCGTCTGTGGCTTGTCCTTCCTCTCAGTGCACACATGACATTGTCTTCAACGCGAGAACCCGATTTACCCCTTCACTTTTTCAGTGGTTGGGAAACAACACACAGGGGCTTTACTTTGGTCTTGAGGAGCTGCCACCTTTATTCACTAACAGACTTTAACTACACTGTACATTTACTGCTAAACTGACAATCGCTGCTCACCTTTTCCTCTGCTCCGCTCGCATTCTCTGTCACTCATCCAGACACTCACTACCCACACACCTTACAGATTACCATTTGTTCTTAACACAACACTGTCAATGCTGTAGACTCAACTCTTCAAACAAGTTATAGCAGGCATGTCAGGAGCTAGTAGCTAGTAAGAATAGCTATATCGTGTTATGTGTTTGACACAGTGTGAAGCAGCGGAGCTATATTGAAAGTGTAGGTGTGCCTCCTTCTGTGCACATTAAAATGTACTGTATCTGTTGTGGTGTTCCTTGCACCTGCTGAATCACCCTCTTTTTACTTCTTGCTTCTGGACAGATTCCCAGATGACAATGGAAGACTTCTTGTGCAGGGTTCGTTCAGACAGCAGAGCACAAACAGAGTACTCCGAGGTGGAGGACTGCCTGTCTGCCTCCGTCGAGGCAGCGAGGAGGGACCCTGAGACTGGCATCGTAACACTCACCCTTAATGTAGTCTACACTCCTCTCAGGCCATGCAGGTCCCAGTACTGCACACACACACACACACACACACGCACACAAAGAAAACATAACACACATAGACAACCACTGATGTACGCAGGAAAGTGAAATACACACTGAGAAACAGGAATGTGTCCTTGTTGTTAAGATTCAGTAGCTTTTGAGTTAAATCCTGTCGTTCTCTTTACAAAACCACTCCACTGGTTGTGTTACCAGTTAAAGCAAATACAGATCCTTCACACTCAAGGAAAAGCATCATACACACAAACAGACATAGACACAGGCACCTTTTGAGAGACACACACCACATTAAAGGCCAAAAAAACAAACAAACGCACAGACGCTTGCACATATTGAGAGAGATGTAGACATCCACAAACACTCATTACTGAGAGAACTAAACACAAATATTCAGACTTGCAGAGGTGCACACAATCGCTTATAAAGTTTAAAAGCACACACACAAAAAGAAAAAGAAAAACACAAAATTGCACACACTCAGAGAAACAAATATGCACATCGCCTGTGTGCAGGAAAAAACAAAAGGATGCTAATAATAAGTCAGAATAACAAAACAATCACATACAGCTCACACACAGACACACAACAGGAAGGAAGGCATGCAGACACAATCTGTTTGTTGCTCTCTCTCTCTCTACGGTTAACACACTTGCATTGAGCATTGTAAGTAAACACTGCATTCATTTATCTCTTGTCTTTCTCCCTCTACAGTACAGTCTCTTCTCCCTCTACCTCTCTCTTTCTCCCATCTTCTCTCTCTCTCTCTCTCTCTCCCAGGTGGGTGTGGCCTCTGCATTCATTTATTACTAACTGTCTGCATGTGCTGAGTCTTAATGTTGGTAGCTAAAGGTTGCTGTGCTCTCTCTCAGAGGTAAAGGGGAAGGCCAACTCATTAGCTGCTTCTGCTTTAACAGTACTTGCTGTGTTAGGTCAGATCCCCGTAGAAAGTACATTAACTTTGGTTTGACCCAATAACACATTTGAAACACATTTTTTATGCCTCCACGCCAGCAATAGCCACAGCCGGAGGTACTGTGTATTCGGGGAGTCCGTCCGTCCCGCTGGCTGTCCGTATTTAGGTCCATCCATCCCATTCTTGTGAACGTAATATCTGTGAAACACCTCAAGGGGATTTCTTCAAATTTTGAACAAACGTCCTCTTGGACTTGAGGGTGAACTGACTAGGATTTGGTGGTCAAGGTCACTGTGACCTCAAAATGACCTTTCCTTGGTCATGACACAGATGTTTAATGGGATGGAACTGTGAAATGATGACATATTTTACCCAAAACGTCAAAGGTTTAGTTCATTTTATTTATTAACTTATTTTAGCCATAATTTAAGAATGAGTTGGTTGATTCCAGCTTTCACATACACATGTTGACTGGGATGACACAATGAGTAAGCAGTAACTAGCTCAGTCCATCTCATCCATTCTGCCTTTCGCTTAGTGCCTCATTCTTTACGTGCCTGCAAACAACAAATTGTTGCGCGCTTAGGTAATGGTGACCTTGTGACTGAATGAGTTTCACTTACAGCTCATAGAGAGCCATTGCATCTAAAAACATCAGGAGAAAACAAGGACCACATTTTGTATAGCTATACTGGATACAAGAATCCTTCTCTAGTAATCAACTATGTGTTATCATGTATAATCAATATAGTGATAACAAGAAAATACACTTTATACCTTTATATTCAGGCATGCAACCTCAGGGCAGTAATTGTAGTTTTAAACTTATATTTTATAATGGCAGTAAATTAGAAAAAAGCATTTGGATATTACTTTGACTTAAGCTTCTTATGTTTGAATTGTCACACACTGACACATGCACGCTTTATACTCGACACTTTGATGAGCCTATTTTCAGTTGAGTCATATCAGTCTATAAAAATGAATTTTCTCCTCGAGTATCAGTCACTGCTTTACATTCATGAACAACTAGGAATTAAATAAGTCTAATGTCTTGTTACTCTATGCTTGTGAACTAGTGGATTTAAAATAGGCAGAATTTCTCTATAGTTGATGACACAGATAATAAAAGTTATTAGAGGATTCACTGTGAGAAGAGGGAGCTGGCATCCCTCATGCTCAAATAATTAGTAGAGCGTGACCCATCCTGAATGTTTTAAGCCAATTTTAGGCAGTTCAAAAACTCTGATAATGATATATTGGCTGATAACAAACAGAAAGCACTTCTAACCAAGGCACAATAAATAAGAAATGAGAAAATAAAGTAAGTTAGGAGTTACCAAGGACCATTTCTACCATCGATCCTTATAAGAATAAGAATCACTTAGATTCGGGTTTATTAAGATATGTATTGAGTGGGAAATTTTACAGTTAAAAACAGACAAAAAGTTATCACTTTAACACATAGATGAAGCCAGCTATGTTAAATATTCCATTCTGAAAAGAGAAAAAAATAAATAAAACCTTTGAATCAGTGTTGTTAAGCAAATTATTCTGCCCCCTGCAGTATCAGCTTGGTGCTCTGTTGCTAGTTGCAGCCCCTACTGGCACTGTTCCACAGCAACTTAAAGGTGCCCTGTGGAGTTTTGTTGTAAACAAACACAAATTCTGTTCAGATTAAGCATTACTCACCAAAAAACATTGTGTGTTTCCGTGAGGTCCAACAAACGTATCGAATGCATTTCCTTCCTCATAAAACCGTTGCCAAGCAGATTTGTTCCGTATTTTAAATCCAGCGTTGTTTACATCCATGTTTACTAGCATGCAGTCTTCTTTTTACCTGTCTTTGTTGGTGCATTGCTGCATTTTTTGGCACATTACTAACATCTGTAGATCAGTGGAATAGTATGAAACCATAGGTACAAATCACATTATAATAAAATGTCTCCATAGCGTTATTTTTACATTCTTTCGTGCTTAAAACAAATGCGGTACTACAAAATATCCATTTTAATTTGTATGTAATGGAAATATATCTTATTATAATCTCATTGTTAAGTCACAATTTATCTATTCTCTACTGTCCTCCTTACTGTACATTGCATGTGACATCCTGGTGGGTGAAGAGTGCATTCATTTATCAGCACCCGTCTTCATTTGTGGACTCCATTAATGAGGCGTGCCCTGCTCGAATCAATACCTCTGAGATCTAATGACTTCTCCATGAGGAAATGACGGGGGGTGTGGTGCTGCTAATAGGCTCTTCCATTATCTACATGTTATTCCTCTGCTATGGCCAGTGAGATGAGGAGACCAAGTATTATAAGCTGAAAGCGGGAATATTAAAGACCAGTTTAGTGAATCTTTTTATTTATTTATTTTTGATAAATGTGAATTCTCAAATTATACTTTTCAAGATAAATTTGAGTGGAAGAATGATTTGAAGCAAGGAGATGGGTGGAAAACAGATTCTAAATCAAAGGTATTCATCTGTGTGCCACGGAGCGCCAGCTGTATACAGGTTTTTATTCCAGTTAAAGCCGAATGCAGCTCATTTCACTGATTAATTCCTCTCCTCTGGATGAAGGTAATCAGTCAAATCAGCTGGTGCTCTCACTAGTTGAAAATAACCCTACATGCACTTGGCCATATACAGAATCCCTGCTCTAATTGGTGCTTTTTTCCTTTTTTTCCTTTTTTCCCCTTCTTTTTTGTGAATTTTATTTGTTTTTTGCTTATATACCAAAAAAACCAGACAACTTTTTGCCGCTGCCTTACTGTATATGTTACAGAAATGAATCAGAAATACAGCCGTATGCTTCAGTGGGCTTTATTGTCTTAAAATAAACTAAATTCATTCCAGTAATGCAATACAAAACAAATGTGCATACATTCACTGTAGTGTACATACATGTATAAGACTACAGATATACAGCAGTACTAGTCAATCCTGTCATTGGCCACAGTCTCACACATCAGGAATGAAAGAGGCACTTGTTCTATATTGTTCTATGGTTGAAAGTAAATTTGACAATTTTTAAAGTGGTATTTAAACACGCAAAATGAAATGTAAATGCAGAGCAATTTAAAAAAAAAAACGTTTAAAATTTAAAAGATGTTTACATTATGTGTGACAAAGCAATGAATAGTTCACAGTCCACATTGACTTCTTTTGTGCTGACTCTGTGAACAATTTTGAAAAAGTGAATTTAGGATTGCGAAATGTGTGTGTGTGTGTATGTCCAGGTGTTCAGCGGTCCTATCTGTGCAGTCTGTGTCCGGCGGGATCTGGGAGTATCCCGTCACTCTCATCGCCACAGAGCCTCAAGTGGATGATGTTATCCTCACTGAAGCCACTGAGTTGGGAAAGACTTCAGCTGTGGGCTTCCGTCTGACCAGCACCACCAGGTGCGTGTGTGTTTACTTTTCTGTGATTTGTTGCTTCATTCGCTCTTATTCCATCCAGCTTTTCTAATAATTAAATAATAACTGCAATTCACTATATTCTAACAGTGTAGCCATATAGCCTTTTTTATTTTTTATTTTTAAACTAGGAAGTAATAGTCCCTTTTTTGCATATGTTTCTGCAACATCTACCGTGACGATTTTTTGAAGATTATTATTTCCGTAACAGATTACGTAATATAAGTCATATAAGATAAGTCATCAGAAAGTACTACCCCTCCCATGGACTTTTTGGGTCAAGGAACTGTGGCTGAGGGATAAATTTATCCTTTGGTTCCTCAAGTCGAAATATAGGAACTAGTGTTTTTGACAAAATAGTTCCAGGAACTATGAAAGCAAAGAATCTAAACTCAGGGACTAAACGAGACTCGAAGTCCCTCTTGCACATTTCTGTTTGCATTTGTTTTTACAAGATGGGGTCAGCTCTTGGCAAATAGTAAATTGGAGGTGTTTGGTTCCAGGAGGCCGGAGCCGTTCACTGCAGCGTTCCTGCCAGGCAGCAGCCGTGAGTTCACAGTGACTCCAGCCTCAGGCGTGTTACCTCCCGCTGGTTCTGCTGGAGCTCTCATCACCGTCTCCTTCACGCCCACCATGTACAGCAAGCACAGAGCAAGACTAACCATCCAGGTATTTAAATAAATTATTCTCTGATTATATGTTTGTTTGTAGTTTCTGTTTTATGGTGATAAATTATAGTGAATGACTGCAGGGTTATTTTTACCACTACTTCACTGGTCATAACGTTTTACCAACAAAGAGTTACAGTATTGTTGTTACTTTTGCCAGTTTCAAGTGGTGAAGTCAGTTACAGTTTTTGACAATATACTTACTAACTAAAATTGTTAACAATAGCAATTTTCACTATGAAATAAGCCAGAGAACATTTCATAAATTCACAACACAGTTTCCAGTCGCAGATGCAAGGAGCCACGGTACTGGTGAAACATATTCACCCATGTTGATCCATTCACATTCGTACAAACTTAACAGTTATCAGATTTGCATGTCTCACAGCTCACTCCCCTTGTTACAGGCAGCAGACATGCAGTGGACCTACGAGGTGAGAGGGAAAACCTTTCGTGACTCCCCACCCCTCTGTACAACCTCCACCAATGGCAGCTCCTCTGTTCTGCGTCCAGCCAAGGAAAGGCAGCAGAACTTTGTGGCTCGAAACCTTCGGCTTCCCGTGCTTGCTAACTCGTCCCCTCTCAAAGTCCGCAGATAAAAGACAGCCTCACTCTCTCATGCAGCTAAGGATCATCATTTTTGTCTAATTTCCTTTTTCACTTTTTTATACTTGAATTGTAGCTGTGGCAGCTTTTTCATCTGGAAACATTTACCACACAATGTCACCTTCAATTAAAAAGATACCTTTATATTTTGAAAATTAACTAATGAACTATTATTTGGACAGGCGCATAATAACCTGGTAATGGTGATGGGTTTCACCATTTGTCCTTTTTTTCCGCTTAAAAAGGCTCATTAGTCGTTGTAGTGTTTCTCATCAGCCGTTCTAATGAGCTATTTTTCTGCCAATACAAAGATTTTTTTTCTCTACCTTTTGGCAAGTGAAGGAAATTTAGCAGGATGATACTGAAGTGAGGATCTTTTTGTGAAAACTCTGCAGATGTTCAATGTTCATCACTGTTAATGTATCTCTTAATGTAATTAAACTTGGAGGTAAAGCCTTAATTTTAGTCTCAGTGTCCAAAATTCACTTTTTGACTCACCAGACAAGGCGACTAGTTGATAAAGAAATCCAAAGGCCAAGCGTATTATTTACAGGCCAAACGTGACAGGATAGCTGGACCATGAGGAGATCTGACAGTGTATCTGACGGTAGGTTGTTTTCGTTTCAAATGGCTGACTTCTTGTAAGTATTGTCACATAGCTAACGTTATTTAAATAGCTTAAGATGGGCAGTTTCACGGCACTGTCTGAATGCGCTTAAAACACATCTGGTAGTTTGTGTGTGTGTGTGATAAAACGTTGGTCTCTCAGCAGTTTTTTTGTATTTCTGGTACAAACATTAACTGCGAGTTTGGCGTAAAGCTTTTATAGATTCACTCACCAAATTGAAAATCTGACTGCATGTGGCGATCGGCAGGGTGTTAATTTCGGACAGGTTGTGACCAATTACATTGCATGCACTGTAATTGACATACACTGTAGCTGGCACAAACCTCCACATGAAAAAATCCCTCTGTAGCTCATTCACTTCCCTTCATCTCCTTTTCATTCATACATTTGGTAGAGATTAAATAAGTAAAATCCATAAGGGATGATGTCGTTTCCTGGGTTCACCTCATCAGTGGGCTACATAAAAAGAGCCAGTGTCCCTGAAGTTTTACACATTCAGCAGGTATATGTATGATGAGCAATAAATACTAGTAATGGTTATGATGTCCCTATCATGCCCAAGAGTCCACTTCAAATAAAATGTTACCAACTTCGTTTCATTCATCCCTTCCCTTATGATCCGCTGTTGATAGTATAGAGAGAGTCTGGCCATAAATTAGATCCATCTCAAACTGCTGGTTCACGTATATTCCCACTGAACATTATATTACACTAACCAGGACAACCTTGAAATATTCAGTATCTTCCATTTAATAAATCAAACCACAGGAGCCTTAGGAGGTTTTCCACTGTGTGGGCCTGCGTGCACAGCACCCATGGCTGTTAGCCTCTACTGTAAATCTTTTTGTCTGTAGCGACAAGAAAAGTACAAGTTGTCCCAGTGGTTATTAAAAATATAAGTTCAATTTTCTCAATATTTAAATATTATATAAAATATGTTCACCCTCCTTTGAAGTTTCCATGTTTAACAGAAAATGACCCTTTTAATGTCAAAGTGAAACCTGATCTCTACAAAGTTAATTTAATATCTTACCAATACGAAATTTAAAATACATTTAATGGGACACACTTAAGTAATCACTGGTGGTTTTACAAGTCACAAGTTCATACTCCTTTAAATAAACACCCACGCATCATTTCTGTTGGAAAGACCAGATGGGCTGTTGTTTTTAACCGGTGACCCAACAGTAGTCTGCAACACAACGGGACAAACAGATGCAATGTTTTTTACACAATGAAAGAAATAACTTGAAATAAATAAACAAGAATGCTCAAATAATGAAGAATTTGTTATCCACAGAATTTAACAAAGTTTATGAAAATTCTATTCACTCAACAAATCTCAGAACGGTGCAATTTTGAGAGTTGTGGATATTGCAGTAACTAGTTCAATGGTGAAAACATCTGCTGCATATGTTGGCAGGTGAGAGAGCCCAAACCTGTCATTTTTCATTACAGTGAACCAAATGGAAATCAGGCAGGGTGTTTCGTGTGTACCTGGCCTACAGTTTTCTATACGGCACATGGGAGACTTCGAACAGAAGTTCTATGGTTGCTAAGACCAGTATTGAGCATTTTGGCCATCATGCCGGGGAGATACTTCTGCAGCATGATGCTTCTCTGCAGCAGGAAGGGTAGAGGGAATGCAGTAAAATACAGGGAAATCCTGGAAGAAAACCTGATGCAGTCTGAAAGAAAAATGCCACTTGGGAGAAGATTTGTTTTCCAGCAAGACACTGAGCCTCTTGCAAGAACATTTCCATATTTCTAACTGTCTCACTTTTTTCTGTGAGGTTTGCTTGCACGAGTGTTCACTTACTGAATTGCACAAACCTGTTATAAATTGTTTGTTTAAAGTGTCACCTGTGAGGTCAGTGTTTGTGAGATTCGATCATTTGCATAACTGATGTCCCTAAAAGTGGCATATAAAGCTACCTGTTCCACTCTTTAAGCGGGTTTCATTCGCATAATTGTTACCAAACAAGGAGAAGAATTTCACACTGCTGAGCTTTAAGCCCTGCCGTCAAACCTCAGTGGACAAAAAGATAACAAGTGTAGCTTTGTTTGTGGTGCTAAAGGGCCCAGAACAATTAGAATATGTTAATAGTTCAGCTGTTAATGACATTTCATCAGTGCCAAGCTGCACTGTGACAGTCACAGATAAAGGCGAATGCATATAGTCTATGCATTAGGCTCTAAAAATCATCTGAAAATCTTAATACAAGAAAGTTATTCAATGCGGCAAACTCTCTTTAATCAGTCACCTAAGAAATAATCTGTTCGTACAAGCGCTTCTTTCATGGGACCCAATGAGCATGAGCGGAAAAGCCAAAAATACACAGGAATGGTCTCAAAAATCCTGGAGCAGCGGAGTCAAGGATCTAGATCCAAATGAGATATCGTGGCTGGATTTGGAAAACAATTTTTCAATAAAAGAAAGTGATAAATCGTGATGGAAATACAATTGTTGAAAGTGACAATACCCTTATAAAGTTTGGATGTGTGGATATAAAGTGTGTGTCAGCTACATACTCTAGCTTGTGCTCTTACCTTTCTTGTGTGTCCACATATGGAGCTGTCCTATGGCTCACCTTGTGCCTGTGGAATTATTCACGAGGCAGTTACGCTCCGTTATGCGTCCATTAAGCACCATCTGCAGCCTGCTGGGGCAAGAACGGAGAGGGAGAGAGGGATTGGATGGGAGAGGAAAGATAGAGGAAGGGAGCAAAAGATGGAAGATGGAGAGAGTGAAGGACATAGAGGGGGAAAGCAAAGGGTATGCTTGGAGTAATAGATGATGGAAGGAGCAAAAGGGGGGAGGGGGAGTGAGAAAAGACGAGAGCAGCAGATATTGTGAACAGTAAAATGTGGGTGTTTGGTCGAGGATGAAGGGAAGATGCTCTTTGCATGTGTTTTGCATATTGTCTGAGAGAAAGGGTGTGTGTGTGTGTGTGTGTGGCTCCTGTCTAACAATGTGCATCACTGAGCGTGTGAGTATGTTTGTTGGTTTCTGTCCATAGATTACCTGCGTAAATGAGCTCCCCTTCCTCTGCGGGTGCGTTGCCCCGGCAACAGATGAGCCAAGCCAACAGTAATTGGTGAGGGTCTGTTATGATGCCTGCAGTAGCAAGAGATCACACTGATGTCAGACTCCTAATAATAATGAAATCATGATGACAATCCGCCAAGTGCTGACACACCAAACTGAGTCGAACACAGCGGATCCTCTGACCTCTGAATAAAACGAGACAGAGTTTAACTTCACCTCCTTCTAGAAAACTCTACAGTTCTAGGTAACTAAGCTATCTTATCTCTGTAGGTATGACGAGCTCATTCAAATATAATTCTTTGTATTAGGTGATTATACACTAATAAAAACATAATTATGATTATTATATTACATTTACTGCCAATAGATCTTCCTGAATCCCACACACTGAACCTTTAACACGTCTTCTTAACAGCTTATTTTGAGTTTTGGTTTTGGCCAGTTAGGACTTATTTCCTCTTCTGAGATGCTCGCTAGATACTTAATGTTTTAAGTCACTAAATTACTGCTGCAAAAAAATATTATAAAGGTCGGTCATAGTTAGTTACAAGCTAATTATTAAGGTAGCATTTGCCAACTTCAGTTTGCATTCAGTCATTTCAGTGTGTCTGTGATGATATTGACCCTTTTGCAGGGTTATTTGTCTCTTTTTGCTTTAATAACTCACAAAGGCAACTGTTGTTCATCACTCCTCAGCTGACAGCTAACAAACGTTGCTAATTGGGATTCAACCTTCCATGCCCCTCCTTTGTAGCACTGTCTGCAACTGTGATTAAGACCCTTCAGGGCAAGAATCATCTTTAATGAGCAGTTACTGTTCCTCCACATGTGTTATCATTGTACTCAGTTCTTTTCTTTTAAGTGCAAGGTTTTTCCACTGGGTCCATCTAACCTTACAAAAGTTCAGGTAAAATCCAAAAACTATTGAATTCCACTAAGCCAGGCACAACTGGCAATGGGTTGGGATGCCTTGGGCAGGTTTGTTTAGTTTGTTACAGACTTACACATTCCAATCAGACTAAATATAAGAAAATAGAGAGCGAGACTGAGAATGAAAACATTTTAGATTTCAAACAACTTTGATGTCTTCTGACAGGCGAGCCATATGGCGCTGCATTAACTAATCCTTCTCGTTTCCCAGACATTCCTAAATGGATTATCTACTTGGCTGCTTAATACTATTTCATTTTCATTCTGTCACGGAGAGTCCTATCCCCATACATCACTCACACTGGGATTCAATTAGCATGGCAGTAATTAAGCAGGGGCTGTTTCTCCCTGAAATACACACAAAATTATTTGACAGCCTGCCAGTTGAAGGGAGAAGTTGTGTGTGTGTGTGATTTTGACAGAGAGAGGAAGTGGGTGATGAAAGAATGTGAGAGGAGGATTACTGATCCATCAAATGTTGTCAGTTTGTCTGATATCATCCTCACTTGTCACTACACAATGTAATTGTGTCAACCAGTCCAACAGTATGAACTTATTATAAATATGATCACTTTGCTTTGTTACCGCAGTCTATCAAACATGCAATCAGCACAATGTTTTGTCTTCAGTTTAAGTTAAATGTATCGATTCCTAAAAGGAAACTGGGTCACTGCAGGTACGCGTATGGTTTACAGCAATCCAATAAATGAAAGCACGGAGGGCTTGACACTATTGACAATGTGTCTTTTCTGACACTGGCCAAGATAAAGCATTTTATACATATAGACGTAGTAAAAACCTCAAATGCACAACCACATGAACAGAGCAC